TATCTTTTCATCATTTACCGTGAAACAAAGTAGTGCAGCTTTGCGGTTGTGCTAATAATTTTGGATATATATATATATATATATATATATATATATATATTAGACAATCTAAACTGTTTATGCAATATTGTAGCCCAAAATGGAAATTTCTTGAATTCTGATTGGTCGAAAAGTGGCGTCGAATGAGTATAACAGTCCTCTAAATTTCCTGGGCGACTCACTGCGAATGAATATTTTCTGGGTGCTAGACTCTGTTTGCAGTGGCCAAAAATTCTACACCTCAAAACTTTATTCTTGGAAATCTTCATGAATTTTTTCTTGTATGTCATCAACAATGAAATTCAACCATTGGCTTATTGAAACACTCACCTGAAACACATAAAAAACAAAGTTAGTGAGTGTATTTGAAGCATAATAAGTAAATTTAATTTCAAGGCTGGTCTGACAATAACGGTTGCTATGGTCATTCTATCATAATCAGACTGGTCAAAATCGAAGATTTTCAACAAGTGAATAAAAATACTACAATTTATTGAACTCCGTATGGATCGTAATATATTTTTAAAAATATACAAGTCGGGCTGATACTGATATGAATATGACAGAGACTAATTTTCATACATAGGCCATGTTTTTTTCCGAAGAAAAACAATCACATTCACAGCGTCGAAATGACAACGTAAACAAGCATAGCAACCACATGCGTACGCTACACAGCATATATCTACACGGTCACACGAGTGTATGGACATTTATCAAACAATTTGTTTCGAACCTAGTCACTGCTGGAGTTCAAAATCATTTAAAAAGTACATAAAATACATTACGATTTCTGTTTCGATCTTTAAAATTATCGCAGAATGACCTCCTTTTCCAAACAGACACAATTAACCAGTCGCTTAGTGAACCAAATAGAATGGAAATGAGTGTTATTTTATTACGTCACGGATATTTTCATTACGTCAAAATTGTTTTCCTTGGTATTTACGTCATTAAAACCAAAAAACGACCCTCAACTATCGCGAAAGAAAGAATTCCAAGAAAAATGTTAAATATTTTGGGCTACAATATCGATAAACACCTCCTGTTTAGAATTTATCGGACTGTTATTGTCCATTTGATACCGCTTAAATTTTTCATTAGAGGCGCTCGATCGCTACGCGATCTCGGCCTCTAATGATTTAAGCGGTATCAAATGGACAATAACAGTCCTCTGAATTCTAAACAGTCGGTGTTTATCTCCTAATTGATAACCTATTTATCATGATATATGTATATTAAACACAGGATATTCTATTATCATATGATTAATTAGTTGTACAGTGACAGCCGATCGAGGTATATTAAAGTTGCAATTTCATATTTTTAAGTTATATTTTTAATATTTATTAAAATAAAGCCTTAAAATAGATGGTGTCTATAAACAGTCCTATCTTGTTAAAGAATAATCCTATTAATCCTATAATTCACCATCATTTTCATCTTCAAACTCCAACGTTTGAAGATAACTATTCCATGGTGGGGATAGAAAACAAGGGAGGTAATTGTGTTATTATTTCCGGTGTAAATGAGTTTTAAGTGTGAGAATGACACCTATGATCGTATAATAGTGAGTTGACTGACAACCTATTGAGCCAAAGACATAGAAATAATTATGTTTGACTTTCTTAGAAAATATGAAATTGTAACTTTAAACACAGGATAACCTATTATCATATGGTTAATTTCTTTTACAGTGGCAGTAGGACGTTAAACCCCATTTCATTTCATTTCGTTTTACAGTGGCAATCGAGATATATTAAACACTGGTAGTCAGTGCGTACGGCTAGTACAAGACCGGGGTCATTCGTCAGGGATGCTAAAGACGGGCATACGCCATGTGGTGTGCTATTGGGGAAATATGTCCCTCGCAGTGGCATTTTTGCCTAATTCGAAAAGGTCTTTTTACTGTCAACGCGTATTGAATTTGCACACCAACAAATTGTATGGCGGACTTCAGGTTTTCGTCCTGTTCTTGCCACTCAACTCCCCGGCCCTCACTGAGCCATCGTACCAGGTATTTTGAAGGCTTGGCGAACCCTGGATTATGGATTATGACCCCTCCTTTTTTTAGCTTCTCTGTCCATCTCTTGCAAAAGGTGGGTGTATCTTGCATGGCAAACCTTGTTTTTTTTAAATGCCGCTTTTAGCTTGGATGTTAGATGAAAGTAATAACCCCCTTTCAAGGAATGAATGAATAAATAAATGAAATGGGGTTTAACGTCCCACCGAGCTAATCAAGACAAACATGCAGTATGCTATGATGGAAATTTGGCTAGGACAGTATATGAATTCCAAGAGTGTATGGATCTGCTACGTTAACAAGAGACCTCTGTTTGGGTCGTCCCATCCGAACGACTAGACTGTGTTCCTTGTCACGCGTTCTGCACTTCTGGCAAGGGAAACCACACCAGACAATTCCGAGGAACATTCTCGACCAACTGCGGGATCGAATCCCGGACCTCCAGGTTACAGAGAGAGAGAGCGAGAGAGAGAGGGTGGGTTGGTATTAACCCTGTCGGAGGAGAACAGTAGGACATTAAACCCCATTTCATTTCATTTGCATTTCAATTCTGTGATCAATTTGTATGTACCTGTTTCAACAGAACATATTCAGCCTGTATTAACAAATGACATCACGTTACATAAATATAGGATGAACGATTATTGACTTAGTTACCTGCGGTATACCTAGTTATTATCGATTCAATCTAATAATTACCTGGATTAAATATAATAATATCATAGTTATACGCTTCGTCAAAAAAAAAAAAACCAAACAAAAAAAAACATTCACGTTGGTTACCCATGACTACTCTTTTCCCATTATATCATAGGGTCTCGCATGGTTTCGATTCTCTAGCTGGTTGTACGTGACAAGGAGTAGTCGTTCGGATGGGACGAAAAACCGAGGTCCCGTGTACACATTCGCGTACACGTAAAAGATCCCTTGGCAGTTGGAATTCGATATAAGAGTAGGCCGTAGTGCCGCTGTCCGGGCAAAATTTCCCTCATAGCACACTGTATGGCGTATGCCCGTCTTCATTAGCCCAGTTCGGAGCAAAACAGTAAGACGTTAAACCCCATTTCATTTCATTTCATTTAGCCAGGTTGGTGCACCATGAATTACCGTAAACCACATTTCGTTATATTCCTGCGTTACACCTAAAAAAAAACAAAACAATGTTTGATTTATATTACGTTATATCATTATGCCAAACTTCTTGTTAAATTTTCCAAACGTTTGGATCTAATGATGCATTGGAATTAGGTCTGGACAGTTTAGTCTGTTTCAAATCTGGATTGATACACAATTACTTAAGGTAATTTATGCCAAAAAAAACCAACAAAAAACAGGCGGGACGATTTACCCAATACTACCCAATACACCACAATATCAACACATACTACCCAATACTACAACACAATCTGATTAAAACACAGATCCTATTTCGTTTCGTTTTTATAGTTCAAAATTTCGTTTTACTTGTCTATATTACACTAGGATCTGGAAGAGTTGTTATTATTGACGTGTTGTGAATGGTGTGAGAGATTAGCCAATGAAACGGTCTGTTACGGCGAGCTTCTGGCGTGTTTTGTGCGGAACTGTTGGTAATCCACTGGTAACATCAATGCTGATTGGTTAATCAAATGTCTGATGTTATAGGGTGACAAGCCGCTCGTATAAACCTCTGGCGCGACCTATCGCTACAACCGGTCAGATCTTCATGTAGTGTAGGCAATCAAAAGTATAAAAAAACGAAACGAAATATAGATCTATATTTTAATTAGATTGTACTACAACATAATGATGCAAAATTTGCATATTACTTGAATAAATAGGTGGTGCCGAATGCCACCCCCTCCCACTCTCTTTTATAGTGCCCACACCCTTATTGGTTTGCGTCATATACTGACCACGGTCCTAGATTATAAATATGGAATAGACACACCCCGTATCTTGCACTCTGGGAGGGACTAATTACTAAATTTGACCAACAGACACATTCCATTCCTGACCATGAAGATGGCATATGACAAATGTGTTTATTAACCTTTAGTTCAATTCATGTAGATTTCTGTTGTTTCGGGTGTTATTTTGCTTGACTATACTATAAACAATTATTAGTCAAGGCCTGCTTGGATGTTAAGCGCCATTATGAATCAATTCAAATTAAAAAATGATCAATTATATCAACGTCATAAATGATAATACAATAAATAAAATGTTCGAATGTTATTGTTCTACAAGTGACCACTGTTCATAGCAAGAAATGAAATCTAATGGGGGCCGCAGTGGTTCAGTGGCAAAGCCGATGGCTCGCTAACCTGGAGATCAATGGTTCATGGTTTACCTGCTTGCATTCCCTTGTCAGTGGTGCAAGGCGGAGGATACCAAACGTATATTGTCTTTCGAACGCCATCGATTGTCAACTAAGCCAAATAGCGTTGGAAGGAGGGTGACACGGAGCTTGTCAAGTGCCGGGTACCCCCCGACCTCCCCACCCTAAGATGAAATAAAATACAAGAAGAAAAAAGAAGAAGAATTTATCATACATGTGGAGTGGGGGGGGGGGGGCGGAGGTGGGAGGGAGTAATAATGATGGTCTGCATCCAAAACAATCAAGAGTTACCTCCCTTTAAGGGAATAAAATAGTCATTAATTAGCAAAGCCAAATTTTAACATTTGGTGCTTGCCCAATGAGATTGACATGTAAAGATGATTTACATAATTATAAACCTACTAGTCACAAAACATATTATTACCCAAAACGAAATATGCTTATTGATCAAAAGATCAATTTGATTATTATAATTATGTATTATACAAATAAACACGCGTGCATACAACGGGGATAATATTTGTTATATTTGAGTAAGTTTAGCTGAGGAAATAACTATAATGTGACACTATAACGCCTTATATTACCATTTTTCAAACAGCTGTTGATGGTTTCGTACAATTACGCATTGATTATTCGATATGCGGAGCAGCTTAGAAAACACCTCGGTGTAAATATAGTAGGTTTTACTTTCCCGATTGCATTTCAATACCTTTATTTGAGTGTAGACATGTATGTATTAACCAGTATGTTCACGGATTGAAATAAGGTAAGTTTTAAATATGTTATATTTCTTAATGTTTCAAAAAGTTACGTTTAATTATATACAACTGAAATGTGAGTCATTCAGGTTTATTATTTGCGTAAGATTTGGAATTGTTTTATTCATATCAACTTTCGAATATTAAATGAGTTGTATTAACGAAAACCTTAATTCTAAAACTTCAATTAATTTTTAATTGTTGCCCTTGAATTATTTTTTTTTTATTTTTTTTTTGGGGGGGGGAGGGAACCTTTATTGGGATTTATTGGGATTTTCCGGGGTGGTTCCCCCTTGTCAGTGTTGCAGGACCGAGGGGACAACGTATAGTCGTTCGAATGGGACAAAAATCGAGGTCACGTGTATATATTGGCGTGGACGTAAAAGATCCCTTGTATACCCGTCTTCATTAGCCCAGTCGGGGCAGTACAGTTGGACGTTAAACCCCTTTTCATTTCATTTCATTTATAAAAGCGGCATTGAAAAGTTAAGTGTTTTCAGGGCTGTGGTTTTATAGGTTTCAGTAGCGACAAATTGCAGTAACGATTAATATCTAATCTATCTTTTCAGTGAAAGGTGTAACAGATGAAAAGACCAATATGAAAACTAAAACGATTGTCACCTGTATTTTGGTGTGGGCGGTTTGTTTAATAATATACCAAGTAGTACGCATGCATATAGTACCATACACAAAAGGCTTACAAAGACGGGGAGATAACCTAATGCTAGGTAAACGTTTCATGTTTATGAGAAGTAAAAAAAAATATAAAGACCTCTTTGATTTCGGCAAAAATAGAGTATTGAAGTGGTGGGGTGTTTTTTTTTTGGGGGGGGGGGGTATTCGATTTTTTTGGTTTTGGTGCGAACATTAATGATGGTTTCATTTTTAGCCACCTGCTTCAACACAGTAGGGGGGTTGCATGGCCGAATGGTTAGCATGTGCGCGCTGTATCATAAAGCCTGTCATTATTAGTCAACTGGCGTGGTTTCGAATCCCCGGTTGTACGTGACAAGGAGTAGGGTCGCCTGTCCAACGTCGCGGGTTTTCTCCGGGTCCTCCCACTGCTAAAGACCCCTATGCGCAAGCGAATTATTGAAATAAAATTGAACCATATGTTAGTCCCGAAATGACCTAGTTTGTGTCGAGTGGACGTTAAACCCCATTCTCTCTCTCTCTCTCTCTCTCTCTCTCTCTCTCTCAACACAGTAAGATACGATTGATTACATCTCACAATGGCTGTAGACAATTGTGAAAGACGACATGTTTGTTTCTATAAAGATATCGACCAAGATCAAAGGGGTTATTTTAAGCTAGCTATATTATATTGTATGTATACATTGTTCAAAATATTCAACTCTTGTTATGTCCCGATGCAGCATTTTAGCTCTATAGAAATCAATTGCAAACTAAAATATTGATTGGCCAAGAAAGTTCATTCAGGTGTTCCCCCTTGTCAGTGATGCAGGACGGAGGGCTGACAAGGACAGCTGTCTAGTCGTTCGGATGGGACGAAAAACCGAGGTCCCGTGTACACATTGGCGTGCACGTAAAAGATCCCTTGGCAGTTGGAATTCGATATAAGTGTAGGAAGTAGTGCCAGCGTGACGGCAAAATTTCCCTCATAGCACACTGTATGGCGTATGCCCGTCTTCATTAGCCCATTTCGGAGCAAAACAGTAGGACTTTAAACACCATTTCATTTATTAGATTATTATCTTCTCGTTTTCTCTAATATATGAATATTTAGTTTCAGAGCAAGAGGGTGGAATAATCACAGGTGACGCAGAGGGAAAAAACAAAATTCACCGGATATTTTGCATCATTTTTACTATTCCCAAAAATATAATGAAAGCTTTAGCTGTGAAAAATACGTGGGCTAAAAGATGCGACAAATACCTGTTCTTTAGTAATACGACCAATGCATCATTACCAATGGCCGCCTTAAATATGACGGAAGGTCGAGAGTTTCTACCGAGAAAAAGTAGATTAGCCTTTGAATACGCTTATGAGCATTACGGCTCGGATTTTGACTGGTTCCTGAAAGCAGACGATGATACTTATGTGATAGTGGAAAACTTACGTCATCATTTAAAACAATTTAACCCGGATGAACCTGTTTATGTTGGGAAAAAGTTCTCTACGCATCACAATCATACCCATTATATGAGCGGCGGGGCGGGTTATATTTTTAGCCGTACTGCCGTAAAATCGATGGTTTCCGAATGTTTCCTAAAATACAGTAATTATTTTCGTGGTGGTATGGAAGACATAGCTGTGGGACAGTGTGCGAAAATGTTTCATTATAATATGGTGAACGTATCCACGGACGCCTTGGACAGGGAAAAATTTCATAGTCTACATCCGGGTAATTATCTGGATGCTGATGTGCCCGAATGGTTATACAGATTTTCGTTCTCTAAAGTAAGAACGGTAAGTTGCGTATTTGATCTTTTTCGAACTAAGATTCAGATAACATCCCGAGTGAGGTGGTCTAAGCATGGATCTTAAAATACATCTATTATAAGGTCCGTGGTCTAACGACTGAGCTGTAGATGCACGTCACGGGTTCGACCCAAGGTTTATAACATCCCGAGTGAGGTAGTCTAAGCATGGATCTTAAAATACATCTATTATAAGGTCCATGGTCTAACGAGTGACGGGTTCGACCCAAGGTTTATACTTGACAAGAAATTTGATCGCTTGCCTAATCTCGTGGGTTTTTCCTTGTATCAATTATACAATATATTAGTCTACGGCAATATACACTTGTCTTTACCCGAACGCCCCCCCCCCCCCACACACACACACACGTACGTCCTGCACCACTGACAAGTGGAAATCAGACTGTTTAATTAGACAGCACCATACTCATTCCTACTAAACTTACGCTGAACGTCTACAGACACTAAGCTAGTTGACCGACATTTTCATTCCTAAATCGCAGATTTTAGTCGAAAACATTTAATTTAGTCTGTTCGTGTATAACAGATGTGAACCGGCGTAGGGCCGCATTACAAAACAATATACTAATTGTTGGATATGGCGACCATTTACGGCAGAGGTCTATTCTCGAAATAGGGAGGTTGGATGGCCGAATGGTTATCATAAGTTCTGTCATTGAGTGAACTGGTGTGGTTTCGAATCCCTGGTTGTACGTGACAAGGAGTAGGTTCGCCTGTCCAACCTCGTGGGTTTTCTCCGGGTCCTCCGGTTTCCTCCCACTGCTAAAGACCCCTACGCGCAAGCGACTTATTGAAATAAAATTGAACTATATGTTAGTCCCGAAATGACCTAGTTTGTGGCGAGTGGACGTTACCCTCTCTCTCTCTCTCTCTCTCTCTCTCCCTCTCTCTCTCTCTTCTCGAAATAGAGTATCGTTTTCTGTGTACAGAATGATACCCATTAAGACACACTGGCTTCCCAAACGATGAGGATGTTTGGTTATAATAAAGACGATGGGCCACGGATCAGTGAGTAAGATGCCGACTCACTGAATAGGTGGTCTGGGGTTCGGTGCCGGTGTTGGTCAAGATTATCCAGGGTGTTTTCCATAGAGGCGCAGGAGGGGGAGGGGCTGTTAAAGGAAGCGCGTCTAGAACCCTTGTCAATCGATGTCCTGGGAAAATGCCCCTCATATCACAGCACACTGTACATGTGTATGGCGTATGTCTCATTTAGCGCGATTTGTGCAGGACTGTAGTCACCTTGATTAGTCCAGATGTTTTCCTCTTTGACAACTCGATACCCGCTTTCGCTTAGTACACACTAAACATTTAAGCCATGGCATGGTAGGCTACATAATATTCAATACCGTACGCAATGGTCCTAGATAGATATAATAATAACCAACACAAGCCAAGAAAATGTTTAAATGTACTAAGAATGCAACAGATGGCGATGTTGAACAGCCATCTAGCAGAAATTTTATTAGAAAACGAAGAAAAAGCAAAAAGCAAAGAAACAAATCAATTCTCAGCATCTATGAAACAGGTGCACCAAATAATGGGGTAACATTTGCCATGAACAAGGAACCGTACGAAATCAGGTATTGGATAAAGCTGTGGCATAAAATAATTTTAAAAAAGCCAGAGACACAAAGAGTGGAAATACGATTTCTATCTAGATGAGGCGTTTGAAAAAAAACTCTTTTTAAAACTTTAGTCTTTGTCGCGTCCACAGGGGGTATAACTCTGGAATGGAAGGCCAAATATCGATAGAGTCTGTCCTCTCTTGACCACAATACTTCACATCAAATTTGAAAAGATCCGTCAAAAACTCTAGCCTCTATCGCGCCCATAAGCCATTTGTTGATGGACGGACCGACGCACGGACGGTCAGAATGACGACATAATAGTAATACGCCCACTCTGAAATATGTACATATAATAAGTATTTAATGCAATCTGGTTTAAACACAGATCCTATTTCGTTTCGTTTTTATAGTTCAAAATTTCGTTTTACTTGTCTTTACTACACTTGGATCTGGAAGAGTTGTTATTTAACTCGTGTTCTGAATGGTGTCAGGGATACCCCAATGAAACGGTCTGTTACGGCAAGCTTTAGTCGTGTTTTTCACGGAACTGTGGGTAATCCACTAGTAACATCACTGCTGATTGGTTAATCAAATGTCTGACGTCATAGGGTCATAAGTAGGTCTTTTGACCCCTGACGTGACCTATCGCTATAACTTGTCAGATCTTCGTGTAGTGTAGGCCATCGAAAGTATAAAAAAAACGAAACGAAATATAGATCTGTATTTAAATCAGATTGTATTTAATGTGACCCTCCAATTCATATACGTTGTTGTCTTTCTTTTTATTTCAGGGATTTGATTGTTGCAGTAATGAAACTATCTCATTCCATTATGTCTCACCTAAGGAAATCTATCTTATAGATTTATTTTTATATCATATTCAAATTGCTAAAACTTAATATCAATACTTATTTTATTGTATGCCTATCACGTATGTAGATTTTATAAAATATTAAAGAAAAATAAAAAGACAATCTATATTGTGGCCATCACTGTATAAAGTTGGTTAATACAGTCGCTAGTGGAAAAGGGCCCTTATTCACGAAAACTTAAACTAAGATACAATCGAAATTTTAAGAAATACTGCAACTTCATTGGATATATGCAAATTGATTTTACTGGTCAGCCAATCGAATTGCAGTATTTCTTAAAATTTCGATTGTATCTTAGTTTAAGTTTTCGTGAATAAGGGCCCTGGTATTATCGCTTTGGAGATTTTCACCGGTTGGCACTCAAATCAGTTTCGGTTTGTAGTGTTTTGATAATGCTTAGTTGAGATATAGTTGTTTTAACTTCAATTTACGTTTTTCTTGGCAAGAGTGATAACACCTCATTAAACCTATAAATGATGCCTGAAGCATTGGACGAAACACTAATCGCTATATATTTCAGGTCAGCTTATATATCCGTTGTTTGTTTGTTTGTTTTTTTTTTGGGGGGGGGGGGTACCCTTCCTTTTCTGGGAATAAAATATTGTTTATTATTAAAATAAAAAGGATGGCACTGTCTCCCTAACTAATGCAATGAAATGAAATAGGGTTTAACGTCCCACTGTTCTGCTCCGACTGGTCTAATAAAGATGTCATACATGTCATGCTTAGAGGGGAATTTTGCCCGGCCAGCATCGCTACGGCATACTCTTATATAAAATTCCAACTTCCAATGGGCTTTTAGGTGCACGTCAATGTTTTTCTTCCCACCCGAATGTCTAGATAGCAGCCCTTGTCATTCCCACCGTCCTGCTTCACTGACAAAAACAAACCACACCAGAAAATCCCGATGAGCTTCCTCGGCCAACACCGCTAGCGAACCCGCGACATCAAGGCTGCAAGCTTCGAGCCAGCGTCTTACTCACTTAGCCACCGTGGCTCCTCCTGTGTTAAAACTTTTGGTTTAGACAAAACATGGCCTGTTATGTTTGTAAATATCAAAATGTATAATTTAATTCTAGAAAATGTGACTAGTAATATATTGCCAACAATCTGGGATGGACTTGTTTTAAATAAACAATGCTAAAACATCAAAGAGATGAAAATCCGAACATTCCTTAAAAAATTATTTATTTATCATCAAGAATTTGTTTATTTTCATATTACGCTTCCTGGGGCTACTTTCACTTTGCGCAATTAACATCTGGTTCTAAAATAAACTCTTGGAATATATGATATGACATGGACAAGTATGTAATAACTACTTGAGTTGTGGTGTATATACAAGCATGTTACTAGCACTGGCAGTGTATATCTGTTACTATTACACCAAACAGACAAGCACCCCCGCCAGTGTGTAGGTCTGTTACCATTTTTGGCCCAACATAATGAACAGGCGCTGATGCTATCGTATCAGATTTATACGGTTATAGCCACTGTGCTCGTAAAGGATGGTAGGTATAGATAGATATATGACTTACTTATACTAGGTCAGGACGAGATATATGACGTGGGTGTTAGACGATCAACCATTTGGATTATATATATACTATACAACAGGTAAGTATTTAAAAGTCTTTAATTTTTTTCATATTATTTCACAGGGTTTGTCTACCTGGTGCCACGCCCCATTATTAGTAGTTTAGTAAAATATCGAAAATGTTAAATGTTCGTGTAAGGTACTGTACTTTGTTATATTAGTGATTTAGTAATGAGAGGTCCCCACCGTCTTGCGATACGTTACGATAGGATTGTCCTTATTGAGTCCACATTTTTTTATATCACATTTAAAGGGTTTATGGGGTTTGTTTACCTGGTGCCACGCCCCATTATCAGAAGTTTAGTAAAATATCGAAGGTACTGTGTGTTTGTTATTTTATTAATTTAGTAATGCCTGGTTCCAACTGTCTTGCTTTGCGTTACGATATAGGATTGTTTCTATTGAGTCCACATCTACATCAGCTGGTACGTTCGGATACGTTTCGGTACGATTAACACGATTTGTACGACTGACCACAATATATAATAAGACCTGATAGGATTATCATAATTACTCCACGATTAAAACCACGATTTCAATCGTAGCGCGAATCGTGATAGCGGGAACTTAGCATTAGTAATTTAGTAAAATATCAGAATTGTTAAATGCAGAACATGTTTTATACCCTGTCTAGAACACCCTATGTCACTTCTCCTTCAGTTGGAAGAATATATAACTATCAATTATTGTTCTACTTTTGTGCTATAATCAAGAGAAAGAAATAGGGTTTAACGTCCACTCGACACAAACTGGATCATTTTGGGACTCAACATATGGTTCCATTTTATTTTATTTCAATTATAATTCGCTTGAGCGTAGGGGTCAATAGCAGTGGGGGGGGGGGGGAACCGGAGGACCCACGAGGTTTGGAGTGTTATAATCAAGGGAATTTCAGGTGTGTCCACCAATGTTACGTAGAAAGAGAGGCGGATAGAGAGAGAGAGAGAGAGAGAGAGCGACAGAGAGAGAGAGAGAAATGGGGTTTAACGTCCACTCGACACAAACTAGGTCATTTCAGGACTAGCGTATGGTTTGATTTTATTTTAATGATTCGCTTGCGCGTAGGGGTCTTTAGCAGTGGGAGGAAACCGGACAGGCGATCCTACTCCCTGTCACGTACTACCCAGGAATCGAAACCACGCCAGTTGACTCAATGACAGACTTTATGATACAGCGCGCACGTGATAACCCCCCCCCCCCCCAATCACGTTACGTTATGATTATATTCATTTACTATATATTCAACATTTGGAAATCTTGAGGAATGTATTAAAAAAAATCCGTTTTCAATTACACGTTTTGGTGCATGTTATTGACGATTCAAGTAACACCCGAGAATGTTTAGTCATCATGTTTAAAGTCACGTATAAAACTGAATAGATATATCGAACCCTGTTGCGCCAATTTCTACATAATCATAACACACAGTGCTAAATGATAATCCAGTTCAGTTTTTCGTCATAGGTCGCTGAGATGTAAATAAGGTTAGGGCGAGATTGTAGGTTAGGTTTAAGAATTTTGGGGAGAGGTTAAGTCTCCACATAAGCACTGACCTAGGATGATGAAAAATTAGTTCTGATATTTCCTAGTTTTATTAAAAATACATGCAATATATTAGATTTATATACAAAGTTGATTTCTCTCTCTTTTTTCTTTTCTACACACCCCATACAATCACACAGCACCCAGACATCCACAACCACAATTAAAACAGAGACAGAGAAATGGGGTTTAACGTCCACTCGACAAAAACTAGGTCATTTCGGGACTAACATATGGTTTAATTTTTTTTATTTCAATAATTCGCTTGCGCGTAGGGGTCTTTAGCAGTGGGAGGAAACCGGAGGACCCGGAGAAAACCCACGAGGTTGGACAGGCGACCCTACTCCTTGTCACGTACAACCGGGGAATCGAAACCCCGCCAGTTGACTCAATGACAGACCGTATGATACAGCGCGCGCGTGCTAACGCATCGGTCACCCCCCCCCCCCCCCGATATACTAGAGAATCTTCTATGAAACAGATGGTAATCAAAGTTTTTACCACTCACGAACCCCTTGGGACAGGGTACAACTCCCAGCAGACCCGACATCTGTATTCAGATTTTCCATATTATGCCTTGTAGTGTTGTGTTGGGGTGTTTACTCCTGGATTGTCCTGGACTGGTTTAATTTATTTAGAGTCCATCAAACATACATCCATATTGAAGTTTCACCCAATCCCAGAATGCTCTAGGGCTAAGGCCTTTTATTAACAAGGAAAACAACTCTATATACCTTTATGGTTTTAAGAAGGCTTCAGACCACATTTAACTAATTAGTATTAATCTACATTTGTTAAAGTAGAATAGTGAGCAAGTAATAGGGGATATATATGACACTAGCCTGTGTCACGACTTTTCAACACAATCGTTGTAAAAAAAACCCTAAACTGGGCCATCTTACTCTGAAAAGTTAAATTATGAAAAAATAAGCATGAAACGACATTTTTTTTTTAAATGAAATGGTGTTTAACGTCCTTCATATCTCCATCGACTGGGCTAATGAAGATGGACATACGCCATACAGTTTACTATTTGGACAGGACACAAACTCCTCGCAGTGTTTCGTTTGATTAGAGTTAAACCCACTTAACACTGCTGTAATGGAAGCAAATTTCTGTTCCAAATTATGACTGGTCAATAGTCCGATTAACAACTAATATCTAACTGCGTAACAATATCATTACGCTTTAAACAGAGCTGTAAATTTGACTAAATATGTTTACATAACGTTACGTCATAAGCGAGGTCAAGCTTTATTTTAAAGATATAAATGGTGATGTAAGAAATGAAAACCAACCAATTTGGGCGAATTAAATAATTATATTCCAGGGGGCAGTTTCACAAAGCAACTTACGATGAAAAATTTGCGTAAGTTTATCGTAACGTAAACTTACGTAAAAATCGCGTTTCACTAAAATTCTTAACTTACGAAATTCGTAACTTTTATCGTAAAGTCTACGGCAACTCTCACCATGTCGTAAGTTGGAATTTTTTTCGTATCTTTGACAAAATGGCCGCCTTGTTACTTTATGTGAATCGGCAACTTCGACGAGAGAGAATATTCAGGGATAGATTAAACCCTCTCGACACCCATACAGATGAGGAGTTAGTTTCGCGGTACAGACTTGATCGGACCAGTATATTACATCTTATTAACTGTATTATTATTATTAATGATGATATCGAAACCGCAACTTACCGATCGAAATCCCTGTCATCACCTGTACAAGTCCTGATTGCATTACGATACTATGCCACAGGTAGCTTCCAAAAACTCATTGCTGATGCAAATGGGATGAGTGTACCATCAGTGTCTAGACTAATTTATCGTGTTTCACGAGCAATAACAACCTGTGTTGACGATAAATTATCAATAAATTTCCCCTATTCCATGGAAGATATCAATTCTACAAAGGAATGTTTTCACCAAATAGCAGGCTTCCCAAATGTAGTGGGAACGATTGATGGTACACAAGTTGCCATCATAGCACCATCGGGAGAAAATGAGCCGATGTTCGTCTGCAGGAAAGGGTTTCATTCCATTAATGTTCAAGCAACAGCTGATTCTAAACTCAGGTAAACGTACGAATTATCGTTTTGTTTTAACTTTAAGCTTCAACATGACACGCGATCCGATAAGGGGAAAGCGATAAGGGGACTCGTCGTAAAATTACATAGTTCACTGCATAGTTCCTTTCAGAATCCCATAATTCTGTTCAACCCCCTCAATTAAAACACCGAGAGCTGCCGGGTTCCAATTTTGTTTTCGCCTTTTTGGTTCCATTTCGGCTTTTGGCAGACTTACAGACGACGTATGGTACTATGTCACGCGCTATGACGTAGCAAACAAAAACAAGTAAACAACAGGCATGAAAATAGCATTTTATTCATAAATACATCGCTAAATCTTAGCGTATATATAAGGAATATATCATTTCGTCGTTTATGTTACAAAAGGTAAGGATCAAATCAAACATAACGGCTATAATGCCGACATTGTCAACATCCAGTCCGTGGGAATGTTTACAGAAGTGTGAATGAAGTGACGCAACATGACGTCACGACCATTCGTGACGTATTTACGAAAAAAGATACGAGAAAAAGTTAAGAAAAAACTTACGCTGGCCTTTGTGAAACCGGCGTAAATAATTCGTATCTTTTTCGTAAGTTTTTCTTAACGTAGTTTTTTTTCTTAAAGTTACGAACTTTTGTGAAACTGCCCCCAGGTCTTTGAAGCTTGATAATTTATTACGAAGCGAACTAAATAATTATATTCCAGGGGGCAGTTTCACAAAAGTTCGTAACTTTAAGAAAAAAAAATACGTTAAGAAAAACTTACGAAAAAGATACGAATTATTTACGCCGGTTTCACAAAGGCCGGCGTAAGTTTTTTCTTAACTTTTTCTCGTATCTTTTTTCGTAAATACGTCACGAATGGTCGTGACGTCATGTTGCGTCACTTCATTCACACTTCTGTAAACATTCCCACGGACTGAATGTTGACAATGTCGGCATTATAGCCGTTATGTTTGATTTGATCCTTACCTTTTGAAACATAAACGACGAAATGATATATTCCTTATATATACGTTAAGATTTAGCGGTGTATTTATGAATAAAATGCTATTTTCATACCTGTTGTTTACTTGTTTTTGTTTGCTACGTCATAGCGCGTGACATAGTACCATACGTCGTCTGTAAGTCAGCCAAAAGCCGAAATGGAACCAAAAAGGCGAAAACAAAATTGGAACCCGGCAGCTCCCGGTGTTTTAATTGAGGGGGTTGAAAAGAATTATGGGATTCTGAAGGAACTATGCAGTGAACTATGTAATTTTACGACGAGTCCCTTATCGCTTTCCCCTTATCGCGTGTCATGTTGAAGCTTAAAGTTAAAACAAGACGATAATTCGTACGTTTACCTGAGTTTAGAATCAGCTGTTGCTTGAACATTAATGGAATGAAACCCTTTCCTGCAGA